CAGCAACGAAGACCCAACGCAGCCAAAAATAAATAAATAAATTTATTTTAAAAAAAAGCTAACTTGTGGAGTCACATATCAAGGCATCCCCTCGGCATCTCTGACCAGCCTCGTAAGTTCCCAGGCTCCACTGGTGGGTTGGGTGGAGCACAGTGGAAGCATCTTGTCAGATCCACTGAGTGAAGGTGCAGAGGCAGCCATGATGAGGGCCCTTCATGGAAGGCAGACAGCACAGGCTCACGTTGCCATCATAACTGTCTACGACCAAGGGTGCAATTCAGCGCCTCCCAAGTTCCTTTGGTCCTGATTTTGATTCAGGGACATCTTGCACAGCTGTCCCTCGTTGGGGGCCTCTTTGTCTCCTGGGGTTCAGTTTCAGACCTGAGGCCTCACGTCTACCACATCATTAGTTCTTACCAAAGGGATTATAACTTCTTACAGAATATTTCCGTTTTAAAACCTCTTCCCTTTTTGAAGGGAAGCACACCTACGGGTGCTTAACACAAGAAGTAACTCCGAGGCTCTTGTCCTGGTAGCTATTAAAAACACAAACAAACCAAGACATCTGCACAGAAGAGTTAACTTGACAGTTCTGCTCCTGTCTCTGGAACACAATGACTTTTCACTGGAACACAAGTCCTTTTTCACGTCATTCTAAATTTCTGTGGGAAAGAACTCATGAGCTTATTCTTTTATATTTATTTCTCAATTCCCTATGCGGTTTACTAGATTAAAAGACACAATAGTTTAGCTTCTTTGAATAATCCCTCATCTGTCCCCATTTGTTAGAACTGAATGACAAATATGACCAGTCTTCCTTTGCTCTCTGCATTGATGTTCTGTCTCTAGAACAGCTGGTATTACCAGTTAGGTGAGAGGTGTTTGGGGCTGTTTGTCAACGTGGACAAAATTCCCTGCCCTGAGAAGTAAATTATTATGAAACCAGATCTCCCTAGAGTCAAACCTCTGGCTGTACGCTCTGGGGAAGCAGACGTGGAACTGCATGATACAGGTCAAATGTAGAACAAGAGCTGAAGCCCTGAAGACCTCTCTCAGGGACTCGCTCTACAACTGGAGGGCTGGTGTCCGCACAGCCCACACAGGAGATAGCCGTGGCAGAGGGGAAAGAACCTGACACTGAAGTACAGATTTGTGTTTTCATCCCCCATTCACGTGGGGCAACATTTTCGTACCATGTGATGTGAGGAACTGGTGGGAACAGTTGTGTCTCATGGTCCACATTTCTACTCACACTCATTGGGCCTCTTCTCTTCCAGCCTTCCCTTCTGGCAGCTGATAAAGAAGGTGGTGAGAAAAAATAATAATGTGACAGAATGTGGTAAACCGTTTACATATTGACAAGATGGAAGAGAACCAATTGTGATCGCAAAGCCTCTTCATTGTCATCGTTTTTCAGAGCACAGACTTGAGAAAAGCCCAAGCTGACTGAGCTGTGGGCATAAGACCCCTGATGTCCATCACTGCTGATTTAGAGAAAGTAGAAAACTCTCCTGATACTGTGTAATACTCTAAATAGTGCTAATGTCCGCTTAATCACATAAACCATTGTGTGCTTCCAGCTGGAAGCAAAAACTGATATGATGTAGGCTCTTGGTCCGTCTCATGAAAATAACTAATTATAAAGAAATAGAATTTGAGACTCTCCCCCCAATTCAACTTAACACACTTCGGTGAATCCCAGCATGAACAGAAAATAGTGCTCAATGGTGAGCTTCAGTGATGAGTGAGCACCCTCCAGCCTTGGAGGTCTGGAACAGAAGCCAGCACAGAAACAGATAAAGCCACCCAGTGAGGTAGCTCCCGTGTTAGTGGCATGCACAAGTCGGGTGCAGGCAAGGATTCTCGGTTGGGGTCATCAAGGAAGGTCTTCTGAGGTGAGATACATTAGCAGAGCTTTAAACCACAACTGTAAGTTTCTGTAGTGGAGAAAAGAGACAAGGTCATTCTAAGAAAAGGTAACGTGAATGTGCAAAATGCATTTCAGGCCAAGAGTGCTACATATTAAAATACACTTCTTATCAGAATGCAGGGCATTTTCCTCATCTTTGTGTCTTTACATATGTAGTTTCCTTGGGCTTTTTTGGAAATTTTTGCATGTTCTGAATTTTTTAAATTCTGAAATCTTTTGCACATTCATATTACCCATATATATAATGCTTGTATAAATATATATTATATATATAATGCGTGTGTTTTGGGGCAACCTTGGAATTTTTAAGTAGTCAGATAAAATTATTATAAGGACTTTGACTTTCTGGTCAACTTTCTTCAAGCAAGATGGCAACCTTTGTATTCAGTGACGTATAGGTGTTAAACGAGCCCCTGCGGCTCTGGTAACCCCTACCTTCCCCCCTGCCACTGTCCTGTACCATAATACTGTGATGGGAAGACAAAGTCACCTTTTATTTCTGTTCCAGAATCAAATTTTCAAATGTGATTCATGGAAGGAATGAATGAAATGGAACACAAAGGAAAATATACAAACCAATTTTACGTAAATCAGTAAAAACTGTGGCAAAGCAGCTTAGGAATGTTGACCTACAGTCCACTTGATCAAGACACTTATAGCAGAGGAAAGCTTTGGATTCACAGGGAGGGAAAATATAACATAAATCCATATTATTTTAAAATTTTTATTTATTTTTTAAATTTTTATTTTATATTGGAGTATAGTTGATTAACAATGTTGTGTTAGTTTCAGGTGTACAGCAAAGTGATTCAGTTATATGTATACATGTATCTATTCTTTTTCAAATTCTCTTCCCATTTAGGTTATTACAGAGTATTGAGCGGAGTCCCCTGTGCTGTACAGCAAGTCCTTTTTGGTTATCTATTTTAAATATAGCCATGTGTACATGTCAATCCCAAATTCCCAATCTATCCCCCCCCATTACCCCAGTAACATAAGTTCGCCCTCTAAGTCTGTGAGTCTGTTTCTGTTTTGTAAATAAGTTCATTTGTGTCACTTTTTTAAGATTCTGCACAGAAGTGATATTGTTACACCACTCAAAAGTCAATTCTCGAGAGACAAGTGTTGGTAGGAAAGGAAAGGTTGCTTTATTTTGGAGGCCGGCAACCAGGGGGAAGGGCGGACTCCTGTCCAAAGGCCTTCCCCCTGATACTCAAGGAGCAAGAGCTTTTATAGGCAGAGGGAGGGGGCTACATGCAGAAACATGCACAGGCAGCTCTGACAGGCATCTTGAAATTGGTCATCGGTGGTCTGACCAGCGTCATCTCGATTGTTTGAGGTACAGGTGATCTTCAGTCCCAGGGTTGGTTTGTTTCCATTTCTCTGAGGCCAATTCTTGGAATTGTGGCAGCTTATGTCATGACTACAGCCTGGTCATCATGTAGTTAGTTACCTTCTTCGACCCGGAGGAGGATTCAGTATCTGTAAGACAGCTCCCAGGATACGGCTCAGAAAATTATCCATAGCCCTTAAGGAGGAACTACAGGTCCTTGACTATGCTTAAGGACTAAACTTATTATTTGGTCTCCTAGGACTGTTTTCCTCTGTTTCTGCATTTTCTCACTTCTCTGATTAAACTTATTCTTTGGCTAATTTTCTTCCACAGACAAAAGGCAGGCGGAGGACATGGTGGGGGCGGGGGGGGGGGGGAAGAAAAATAGGGTCCTGCTCCGTTTCAGTAACATATGATATTTGTCTTTCTTTGTCTGAGTTACTTCGCTCAGTATGATAATCTCCAGGTCCATCCGTGTTGCTGCAAGTGGCATTATTTCGTTCTTTTTAATAACTGAGTAATATTCCATTGTATATATACATATTACATTTAGAAGTAATTAAAGTTCCAAGTGCTGTGAAGGAGAAATTGAAGCATGTTCAGAGAATGACCAGGGTGTCAGGGGACTTGGGGGGTCATGGGACATGTGGCTGGGGACACTAGGACTTTTGGAAGGGAGGGGAGGAAAGTGGAAATCTCTGGGGACTCTGAGGTGTCTTCCAGTATTAGAAAGGTTGTGTAGAAAAGATGAATTGGATTTGTTCAATGTGACCCTCAGGGGATGGATCAGAAACAAAGGTGATGCAGGAGGACCAGTTTCAGAAACTCTCTCCCTAACAGCGCCGGCCTGTTACTCAAGGACCTGATTTTGAGAACTTCATCACTATTCATAAGGAATGAGCACATCATGACCCAAAGAACAAGAAAGCCAGAGCAGTAATTAGATCAAAGACTATGTCACTTTACTTTCTTTGTAGTATCTATACCCTCTTGTCTTTTCTCTCCATAGGATAATTTGACTTCTTTTTCATGGTATTAAAGAACAAATACAAGTTTGTCAGAATAAAATGTGATGACCATTCAGAGACAGCATCTTTCACACCCAGCGGGAAATGCCACTGGCTTTCAGGATTGCCAAGCCTGCTTTCATTCTCATACTTTTCCAAACACTTTTGGAAAGTTAATATGCAATACTTAAGATTACCACATTGGTGATTATTATCAGGAAATTTTCTTGAAGCAGTGGGGTAATTTTATTATGGATTCAATACACTGTTTTTTTCTTCTTTTGTATAGCTTTGAAATTTTCAATAGTAAAAGCTTTTGAAAAAGGCATCAGGAGTGTTTACAAACACATACGTCCTAGAGCTTGACTTGCATCATGCCCTTGGAGACATCCATCTGCTGAGGACCATTGAGCACATGGTGGAACTGACCAGGAAGGGTGTCTGTAGATTATCAAGGTGGAAAATCCCTTCTACACCTGTGTCTCACCTCCCTCTTCATATTACAATGCAGTGGAATGCTTTAACGAAGACAAAAATTGCAGTGACTCCTCAAAGTGAACCTTTAAGAATAAGGGCCAACTTGGGACCTTAAGTGATAAGTCACTAAGGTAGTTGTTTCATGGACGTGCTTGCACATATATGGCGGTTTGCAGAAGAGAAAAAACAGCCCTGGTGTTTGAAGGATTAGTTATCACTCCGGTCTTTCTTTTTCTCTGTGTTTCCTTTCTAGGTATTTCCACACGATATACTTAGGTATTCGAAGTCGACAGGGCGGAGAGAATGGCCGGTGGAGGTTTTACTGGAAGATGGTCTACGAGTACGCAGACGTGAGCATGCTGCACCTGCTCGCCACCTTCCTGGAGAGCGCTCCCCAGCTGGTGCTGCAGCTCTGCATCATCGTACAGACTCACAGCCTGCAGGCCCTCCAAGGTAAGGGCTTGCAGCTCACTTTCTGCATTTGGGGAAAGGTGGTCGGCTCCTTTTCTCACAACCCGAGGACCGTTCCGTTACCCTTTGACGCAGGTCACGGTGCTCTGGGTTCTTGTCGGCCGCTTGACACCTGTATTTGCGAATGAGGCCTATTTTCTTTTTCACCATCACTTGTCATGGGTAATTTACAGAAAGACTCTTTTGCCCTCAAGCTGCCCCCCGAGTAGGAAAAAAAATCCTTATGATTTTACACTTGCTCCATATGAGAGCAGAATCCACTGAAGCTTTCTGGCTTGTACGATAACTTCCAAAAATTTGAAAAAAGACCTATAGCCCTCTCTAATGTTGTATGTATATTAACTATTACACATATTATATACACTTATGTATAAATTTAAATATATAATACATACTTGAATATTAGGGTAATCGCCACCATTTCTTTTTGATATTAGGACACAAAAGGCGAGAGATTAAAGGAAACGATAAAGATTACCTTAATATTTTTACAAAGAAGGTCATATGGGAAAAAGTTGTCAGCATTTAATAATGTATTGTTTATGTAGTACTAAGTTTTATAAAATGAATATTACAGTCGGATTCATATTTTGGGGTTTTGCCGTCCTGTTTGATCATCTCATCAGTAAGACGATTCCGTTGATAACAGACCCGCCCCGACGTTTCCTTAGGGCCTGCTGCTGAAATCTTTTCTAGAAGCAGATTAGACAGACCAGTGGGTACACAGGTGACTACATGGCTGGGGGAGGATGGATAGGTAACATTTTCTGCATAGTTTCCTGGTAATTTGTCAATCCTGTAACGAAATAGATGTTGTTAAACAGGTAACGTTCTGTAATGTGCTCGTTTTGTTTCAGTCTCAGCAGAGCCTTGCTGTGACTCGCTGTATGTACTGGGCCATCCTCTCATCCGATCTGGTTGGTCTGGGGAATCTCTACAAGGTCCTTATAACTTTTTATAGCAAGGAGCACATAAGCCTGGGCTGGATACTTTACTAATTGGAGGGAGGGGGACGCATAGTACAGGAAAAGAGAGATGGAGTGTTTGCTGGTAGCCAGGGGCCCACTGATTTATGAAGTCCTGGCCCTACCCTGGTTCCACACGAGAATAGCTTCAGTCCAAGAAGTTTGAGAAGGGAGTCAAAGAGGTCCATGGGGTGGGAGCCTCCCATGCTAGTAAGCAAAATGGAAGAAAGAGAAAACGGATGTTAGCACAGAAGCAGAGGAGAAAAGCCTGGGGGAGGCAAGCTTTATCCACCTCCCCCACGTGAATTATCCGTGGACGAGCCTCTTTAGACGTGAGACACCACACGCTGCAGAGGGAGGCTCCGGCTTTGCTTATCTCACTTGCTCGCTGTGAGACCTGGTACAAGTCACTTAACCTCTCTGGGTCCCGGTTTCTCAAACTAAACTAGATGATCTCCAAACTCCTTGACAGTGCTGTTCCACCACTGCATCCGTGAATGCTCAGTAAACTTACGGGGTCAGGCGTGTGCATCAGGAGGTGGTCTGTACGTGAGGATACAAACTCAAAGTCAACATCAAACTGAATCTCTGTCAAGTTCTCATCTCCAGAAGACCTTGGCACCCCCTTGGTATAGTTACACACCTGAGAACTCTCTGGAAGAGAAAACCCCAGGCACAAGTGAGGAGTGTGGCAAGCCACCTTCCTGGGTGGCCCGAGATTCCTGACGGTCTCTGCTAGTTTCCTAAAAGATCTGTAACATCACAGAGAAGTTTTTATCCTAAAGATGATGGAGATGGAGAAGGAAAGGAGAGGGAGGGTGTGAGAAAATGAGATCACCTTTTCCGTTTGAGAGCTTTATGTAAAGTTTTATAGAAAAAAAAAAACATAGAGAAAAGACAATTCTTTGTCTTTATCAGATTATTCATTCTAAACATAAGAATCAAAATATGTGTTTTTTGGAGTTGTGGCTCTTCCCGGATGCCTGGTGTCCCCAGCTTAGCGGCTAAGCTCACTGTTGCATCAGGTTCGCTACAGACTTTGGGAGCGGGACCTCGTCCTTGGCCAAGGCGAGCCTTGCTGTCAAAATCAGAGAGCCATGGGGAGAATATGTCCTGTGTCACTCCCAAGGTGGTCAAAAGACAGTTGGATGCAAAGATCTCTAGGATTAACGCAAGTCACTGAACACAGGATGAGGAATAAGGGCCACTGAGCTGATCTTACGGTTGCCACTGTTTAAGCAGGGAGATGGGCAGAAAGTTGTGTTAAAAGACCGAAGAGAGGAGCTACCTGACAGCAAACAACCACCACAAAACCTCCAGCAAACGAAGACCAGCTCAGGCAATGCCATCTCAATCCTCTTGCATTTTGAGGAGAAACTTATCTGCAGAGAGAGCTTCTAAATTCAACCCTCTGCTGACAGATGACCCCCCTTACAAATGAACCAGCTTACAAATTAAACTGATGTGAATTATAAGAACTGAGCCTTTCCTCTCTAGGAAAAGAAAAATGAATGTGATAGAACCGAGTCTGACGTGTATTTTCACATATCTTTATGGTAAAAGATTCTTAAGATTTATATGTAAAAGCATAACTTTCTGTAATGCATGCACATAATCAATGGCATGAAAGCTGTGAGGTATCTGCAAATAGCTCTGAATTCAAATCTTCAAAATATTTTTATTTAGCAGGTAAGAGTGGTCTTAAGTCTGCAAGTTATTTCCATAAATGACTATGTCTAAAATTATTATTTGTAGGACAGAAAGAAAAATGCTTTTTTAATCCGATTTCAACCATCTACTGCTCTCTGATGGACACTCTTTTAAAACAAATTAAAAAATCAAACAAGAAGAAGTACAACATTTAACACTGATGCTGAAAACTGAGTTCCCCTTGTGGAAGTTGGTGTAGCCCTAAAACCCTGTCGGCTGTGAAAACCCTTTCTCAGGGCTCCTTACTTATTGAATAATTAAGTCAGAGAGGCCTCGCTGTACTGGAGGCCAACAGGCTCAGCGGAGAGCTAAGTAAAGCATACTTGTTTCTCGGTTTGTCCTGTCCCAGGAAGGAGAATTCAGCTCCTGTTCTGAGACCAGGAATCAGGGTCGAGCAGAAACTTAAGCATGAATATCCAGTTCCTTCCACTCCACACTGCCATCTTTGACGGAATTGCTGCTCTCCATTGAATCTGGCATTTCCCTGGGAACATCTGTCTCTGGAGGGCAAGAAATACTCAGGGAGTCTCAACTGTACCCGCACAAGTAAGACAGCACATGGAACATGAGACAGTACAGCAGCCTGTGCTTAGAGCTTCCAGTTTACACGGCGCTATGTTTCCAGTCCAATCCCATATCCCCACCTGGAGAGAGCGAGCGAGACAGCAAGGCAGGCAGGAAGGACAGAAGGAGGGGCAGAGAGATGTAGAAGGACTGTGTGTGGTAAGCAGAGATGGGCAAAGCGCTCTTGTTGGTCTCTGGGCAGAGGATGCAGCCCTCTGTGTTAGAGATGTAAGATGCGACCCAAGGCCTGTCAGTCCTATTTTCAAGCAACATCTCAAACCCATCCAGGACATTTGATTCTATCTCTTATAGATGGTGCAAGCAAAGGTAGAAGGTTAACTACCTTCTACAGACCAAAGTTACCCCTCCTTATAAAAGGGCTGGCTGGGCTGGAGGGTCTCTGAAGTCACTTCTAGCTTCGTGATGCTCTGAGCACTCGGCTTTGGTTGTGTAGACCAGCTGGCGGAGAGGGTACTGATTCGTGCACGTACAGGTGTCCACAGGTCCTGCCTAGCTGGCAGCGTTGCTCAGAGCCGCGCCATGGGGTGGAAGCCCGTGGGGGTGGAAGCTCCTCGGAGCGGCCCGGGATGCCGTGCGGGGTCACCGCGCACACACCGTGAAAGCGTCTCAGCCAGAACGTGTGCACGACGGCCCAGGCTGCATCCAGCACAGTCACCTGGCTCTGACGGCCAGGTGTGCACGCCCGCGCTGCAGAGCCTTCGTGTAGGAACAGCGCTTCCTGGAAGGAACCATCTAAAACAGAAGAAATCGGGCTCTCACCAGATGCAAGTGGGTGCCTACCTAGCAGCACAATTGTTTCCACTTTTTCCAGATGGCTTTAGTTCTTCATTTCCAGTTTCCACCTTTACTCGCCATTGTTGGAAAATCTCTTTTACACTCCCTGTGTGTTTAAGCTGTGATGGACAGAGTGAGTTAGGAACCATTGCTTTCCCACAGGCCGTGTGCCCAGGAAAGCTTTGCTGAGCAGGAAAAGACACCTACACCTACCTCGATTCCGATTTCTTCGTATCCAAAACCCCCATGGTTGCCCGTTTTGCCTACAGTTTATCCTGAATACTTCACGAACGGAAGAAAGCAAAGGGGGCTGGAAGAAGTTTCTAATTATTCTTTTCCTGTCTTGCATCCCACGAGACTACAGGGAAGTCAAGGGTTAAGGGGCTCTCCTTAAACAAACACGATCCCCAGCCAATCACGGTAGGAGACACCTTGAGTGTGACAACTGCCTCCTTTGTCACATCCTGATGAGGACTTTTAAGACGACCTAAACCACTGGATTTCCAGTTGCTCCATTTTATGGTAAAGCAGGTGGAGCCATGCCCGGCTACCTTCCCGAGGCTGAGGTTAGAGAAGGAACCCATCAACCCCCAGGCCCAAGTCCTCTGTGCCGAGTTCCTGTCTCTGCACCCGGCGCCACCCGTGGATTTCTGCAGGGGAGGGAAAATGCCGGGGAGAGAGTCAGCCTGTGAGTGGGACTGTGTCCCGTCCCTTTTGATCTGTCTGTTTTTCTGTCGCTATTTTCGTTAAGTTCATTAACACATTTATCGAATGTCTATTGTGTGCATGATGGTGTGTGAAGGGCTGTAAAATCTGTCCTAAAAAAAATTCACTTTTTATTAAAAGTTTGTAATGTGACATTATAAAGAACGTGACAAAACATATTTAGAAAGGCCTAACTCATCTGGGTGTATTTCAGAAGAGCTGTTCCGTCTTCTAGATGGGATG